GTCCAAGTTTTCATAATCATCCAGTTTGGACAAAACAATGTGTTGGTGACTTCCTGTTATGTTTGCTGCTTTAGGGAGTGGCAAAAAAAATTAGAGTTGGATTGACTCCTTGCATGTGTGAGTAATAGTTAAAATAATCAAGGCTGGGAAGGGGATTTGGCTTAGTGGTAAAGAATGCTTGGGATGCCTGAACACTTACTGGAGTAGCTGAATTTGATCCCCATTTCCACTTCCTAGTCCAGATGCTGCAAAGCAATGGGTGATGGCTCAGGTGCTTGGGTCCCTGGCACCCATGTGAGAGATGTGGATTAAATTGCTGGCTTCAGTCTGATTCAATCCCAGCTCCTGCAAGCATGCAGAATGCGAATTTATGCATGGGATATCTGTCACTGTGCCTTTTGAAAAATAAAAAAGCAAAAGAAAATCCAAATAATCCTTTAAAAACTAAACGTGGGCGACATGTTACAGCTAAATGCATGGTTAGATCTGTGTGCTTGTTGATTGCACTTCCAACGGCACATCCTCTCTAACATTGTTAAGACACAGGACATGGATGAATCACAGGAATAGCACCAGCAGCTTCTCCGACGAGCAGCCTGTCGCCTGTGATCCCTTCCTGAATAGACCTCCAGCAGCCCTGGTCTTGGAGTGGTTTTGCTAGCAGACTTGGGCATTTGGAAGACATGATGTGCAGATCAAAGTAGGTCAGAGTTGGAAAGTCTTCTGCCAGCTTTCTTCCCTGCATGGTCTTGAGGAAGAATTTGTATGGAGCACAGGTTGTACATCCATAATCCAAAAATCTAAAATCTGAAAGTTGGAACGTTTTGAAATTTGGAGTTTTGGATTAGGGGCATTTAATTGGTAGTCTATGCTAGTATTTCCAAATTGGAAGCACTTGTCCTCAGCATTTCAGAGAAGAGATATTCAACGTGTTTTTGCCTTGAACAGAGATGTGATCTGTATTTTATTAGATGGAAGATGGCTGCAGAAGGAAGCTTGCTTGTTCTAGGACTTTTTATTAAATAGTGAGCTGTAGGTGGGCAGGGGATGGGATTGGTTTCTGCATAGATTGGCTAACAGAGGATTATGTTCAAATATTTATAAAACCAATGTGATCGGCCAACACAGTGAAGACAGAAAACAAATAATCAGAACAGGGCTGAGTATGTCAACTCTGCAAGCTGCCCTGAACTTGTACTTGCCACTGTGAGGGCTGGGAGTGGAGTGAACCCTTGACAGCTGTAAGTGGAGCCACAAGCTTACACACCAAACTCTTAACTTCGAAATACAGTTCCAGTTCCCTTGAACAAAGATGTGGTTTTTGTTGTTGTTTGTTTGTTTTAAACTTTAAAGAGTTACAGAGAGAGGGAGAGAATGGCGAGAGAGGTATTCTACCCACTGTTTCACTCCCCAAATGGCCACAAAGACTAGAACTGGGCTGATCCAAAGCTAGGAGCCAAGAGCTTCTTTTGGGTCACCCTTGCAGGTACAGGGGCCCAAGGTTTTGGGTCAGCCATCACTGCTTTCCCAGGCACATTAGCAGGTAGTGGGACCATAAGTGGAGCAGCCGGGACTCAAACCAGTGCCTATACATGGGATGCCAGTGTCACATGAACCATACTAGCCTGGATGGTCTTTGCTTTACCAAAAAGCCCCCTTGTTCTCTCGCAGACACATAGCTAAGTCCAAGATGACTGGAGTGAATGTGTCATCACCTCCATCGCTGCTCTGGCTCCAGCTCTCCCTTGCCTTTGTTTATCCTTTTAAAGAACAGTTATATTAAGGTAAAACCCACCTAATATGCAGTCTAACTCTTGTATGTTACATTTCAGTCAATTAATAGAGTGATTTGAGTACCCAGTAGTGGAATTGCTGGATCATATGATAGTTCTAATTTTAGTGGTTTTTTTTTTTTTCCGCAAACTTCTATACTGTCTTCTACAATGATTGTGTTACCTCATGTAGCTTTTTTAAAAGACAAAATTATTCATTTGAAAGGCAGCATGACACAAAAGGGAGAACGGGGAGGAGGGAAAAGGAGGGAGAAAGCAGAGTTTGGGACAGAAAAAAGGGAATGAGCACGAGGAGAAAGAGAAAGAACTTCCACCCACTTGTTCATACTCCAGATGGCAACAGTAGCCAACACTGGGCCAGTCTAACCCAGGAGCCAGGAACTCTGTCCAGATCTCACATAGAACTGGAGGAGTGAGGACTTAGTTGCCACTCTTTTGCAATGTCGGCATCTCAAGTAGTGGCTTAACTTACTCAGCGTCAATCCCTAGAACCTTTCATGCAGTTTTCATTTTTGTTTCTCTAATATTAGACATCTTTTCATGTACTTTTGGGATTGGGATCCTGGGCGTGCAAGGCGAGGACCTTAACTACTGCGCCACCACGCCGGGCCCATATAGTTTGAGTTTTTACAGTTAGGTCTAAGATACAGTTGAGTTCATGGCTGTGTGTGCTGTAAGGAAGAGAGTCTCAGTGTCCTTTCCAGTTACCCCAGCACCATTGTTGAAGACTGTGCTCCTCTGAGTCAAGATCAAACTCTGTTGTGAGTCAGTTGCCCACAAATGTGTGGGTTTATTTCTGGATTCCCAGTTCTATTTCATTGAATTGTATGTCTACCCTTCTATCAGTACCCTCCTGTCTTACTAATTGAGTATTCTCTTTTATGGGAGACTTGGGAATGGGCGATCTAGACGCTCACTCTCTCTGGTGTGACCAATGATTGAATTCTTCGGATCCCTCATCAATATTTGAGCTACGCTTTTATTTCTTCTCTGTTCTTCCTTGCAATGCGTTCTCCTGGTGGTGTCATTAGGAGAGGTTATCCAAATAGTCCTAACAAATTCCTACTGCCTGTCACCTTAGTTTTCTCTGGGCAGTGTCAGCTAACCTCATTGTCACTCAGTTGCTTTGTCTCTGATGTGATTTCTCGGATATACTGAATTAAACATTTGGGTTGGGGAAAGATGGCTCTGGGTCCTGAAGCTCTCTAATTGATTAAGTTCAGAATAAGACACTTTACAATACTGTTAAAAAGATTTAAAGATCCTTCCAAACTGCTATGCAAGCAAGCAATTGTAGCAGACCACTCTCCCATGTGGGCCTTCACATGAGCTTCTGAAAATGTCTTGCCCTCCTGGAGTCTTTCTTTCCTTGCAGGCATCTGCAGTGTTTCAGGAGCATGAGACTTGCTGACACTGACATCTTTGTAACAGTGGGGAAAATGGAGGATGAGATGGAATGCTGTACAGGAACCATTTAGTGTCACTTCAGCTTGCTAAATTAAAGAAGTACAAAGCATACATGACCCAAGAATGAGTAATAATCACTCTGTTGTTGTTGCTATTCTCTCCTGTTGCAAATTGTAGCAGCACAAGTTCATTTCCAAACGATTGTGTTGGAACTTGCACTATGCACTGGAAGAGAGGCAACTTCTTTTCAAGATTTTTTTAATTGGATAAGCAGATTTACAGAAAGAAGGAGAGACAGAAAAATCTTCCATCCTTTGGTTCACTCCCCAAATGGCTGGAGTCAAGCTGGTCCAAAGCCAGGAGCCTCTTCCGGGTCTCCTATGTGGGTGCAGGGTCCCAAGGCTTTGGGCCGTCCTCTATTGCTTTCCCAGGGCACAAGCAGAGAGCTGAAAGGGAAGTGAAGTAGCTGAGACACAAACCGGCATCCATATGGGATGCTGTTACTTGCAGGGGGAGGATTAGTTAGTTGAGCCATTGGGCCAGCCCTGGAAAAGCAAATTAATTTCCATTTTCTCATTTCTCATTTCTGTTTTCTCATGGGCATTAAGAACCTGTACACAAAATCTGTCCCTTGTCAAGAGCTTCTGTGAAGGGTCCTGACCTATCTTTAGGGGTGTGTAGAGGGGAGCAGGGATGTGAACCCATCAGAAACAAAGGGGCTGAAACGTGGATTGTTTGAATGCAATTTCTCCTGAGTCATCTTGGGCACGGTGCTTGGTCTCCATCTATGTCTCCATCTCTTTAAGATGATGGCAAGAGCAGCACCCACCTCTTGGAGTCATTAAAAGGTTTAAATCTCATGCAAAGGACTGGCAAGGATTGGAAGGCAGACTTTTCTACCAAGAATGTGATAGCCTTGAGTTGACAGCATGGTTTGTGGCCCCTGTTACAACCTCTCAGTGCTGCTAGCAAAGCTCAGAAGCCATCAGAGACACTCAGCAAGATGGGTGTCAACGTGTTCTCAAAGCACATCCTGGGCCTGGCACGGTGGCGCAAGTGGTTAAGGTCCTCGCCTTGCACGCTCGGGATCCCATATGGGCGCCAGTTCTATCCCGGCAGCTCCGCTTCCCTTCCAGCTCCCTGCCTGTGGCCCGGGAAAGCAGTCGAGGACGGCCCAAAGCTTTGGGAACCTGCACCCGTGTGGGAGACCCGGAAGAGGCTCCTGGCTTCAGATCGGCATAGCATTGGCCATTGTGCTCACTTGGGGAGTGAATCATCGGACGGAAGATCTTCCTCTCTCTCTCTCCTCTCTGTATATCCGCCTTTCTAATAAAAAAATAATAAAAATAAATCTTAAAAAAAAAAAAGCACATCCTTTCTTTAAAAGCATTTATTTATCTGAAAGAATTAGAGACAGTTATTCCCCAGATGGCCACAATGGCCAAGGCTAGCCCAGGCTGAAAACGGATCCTGGAGCTCCATCTGTAGATATCAGGATTCCAAAGACTTGGTCCATCCTCTGCTGCTTTCCCAGGCCTTTGGCAGGGAGATGCATTGGAAACTGAGCATCCAGGATACAAACTGGTGGCCCTATGGGATTCCAGAGTTGCAAGTGGTGGTTTCACTCATTATGTCCCAGTGCTGGCCCTGGCACTTCTCTGTAAAAGAATGTGGTGGGGTGGTTTGCCCTACAGGTGTTGCCCAGTGCCTGAAACGCTACAGGTATTTCATAAGCATCAGCCATTCTCACAGCTAGGGGGTGACCCACTGACCTCTGTTATGGTTTCATGTTTTGAATAGAATGTTGAAGTGCTGGCCCATCGGAGCAGTGCCTCGGAGCAGAACAAGGTGGGGGCTGAACTGCGCGAGAAGCTGCTGAAGGAGGAGAATGAAAAGCTGCAAGGAAAGATTGCAGAGCTGGAGCGGAGGGTGGCCCAACTTCAGAGGCATGTCGAGGACCTCCAAGGTGATGAGGCCAAGGCAAAGGATGCACTCAAGAAATCCGAGGTGAGACTCTCTTTCTCAGGTGAGTTCTTTCAGCAGTGGGCAAGGGTTGCTTGGTCATAGGTGAGTAGGAAGGGACAGGGCAATTCTGAGTAGATTGTCTCTTGCTGCCATTTGTTCTCCACTTCTAGGAATGCTATGAATGGGAGGCCTGAGGCAGGGTTGGAGATGTGTGTGTAGATATGTGAGTCTTCATTCACCCTGATAGCAGAAGACCTGGTCAACTCTTGAGAAGTTTCGCAGAAAACTTCTAACACTTGTGAGGGCTGCCTTCCCATCCCCACCAGGCCCGCTGTCACTCAAAAGTGCTTATTCTTTGTTCATGTTCGATTGATGTCTCTGGAGTTGCAGAGGTTTTAGCAAGCCCATTATCCAAGTTGCTAGAACTTTAGAAGTGGGAATCTAAAAACAAGAGTGGCAACAGGTGACATAAAAAATGGCCAGCTCACAGTGAAAGAGGGCAAACCCTTTAGCAGCAGCTGTTCAGCTTTGAAAACCTGCGTGTGTATCCCCAGATTCAATCAGTGCCTGGAGCTTCTGAATCCCCAAGGGTCAGGCTGGAGATGTGTGTTTTTTTTTTTAGGAAGAAAAAAAAAATCACACCAGATAATTTAGATGTTCACTCTTTGCTAAGAATTGGAAATGCAAAGGCAGGCACGCATCCAAGCATACAGCTGTTGTGTGTCACCTTGGGCCCACGACAGATGGGTTGTTACCCTGGCCATGCTGTGTCCATGGCTGTCTACTGTATCAGTTTCACTCCACAGAGTTGGCTGCATAGGCATCGCACACATCTAAACTCCTGCTAAGCCGGTGTTTTCACTGCAGGGACAAGTGCGGCAGTTAGAAGAGGCCCTCATGCATGCCAGAAAGGAGGAAAAAGAAGCGACATCAGCCAGAAGGGCCCTAGAGGGTGAACTCATGGATGCTCAGGTAAACACTGCGGGCTGCTGGCTGCACTCCTTCATAAAGGAAGCCCAGGGAATCAAAAACAGAGGGACAAGTGGAGATCCCTGTCCTTCCGCCTTTAATTACCACTCGGGGCTGGTCACTGTCCATCCAGTCTGGCAGTTTTTAATTGTCTGAGTGTGTGCATATGTGGTGGGTGCATTGGGAAATGTCTGGAGACTTGGGTGGCTATCACACCAGACAGGTGCTAACAGCCTCTAGAAAGTGGGGGCTGGGGTTACTGCGAACCATCCTACAAAGCGCAGGACAGCCCACCACTAAGAATTACCAGGGGTGCCAAGGTTGAGAAGGCTGCTTTACAACATGCAAGGGCTTGACAACTTTCCAAAGCTAAAATATGGAATGTATGAAAAGGCCAGCGGGATTGGTCCCCAGGGTGTGGAGTCAGTCCAATTTCCCTTTTGCTCTGGGCAGATGTACTCCACGGAGTGCCGTGTTTCCAGACACGGATTAGAGGAGCAGGAGAAAGTCATCTCCCTGAAGCTAGATAGCCATCACTATTCTAAGCCAGGAGGCTCTTTGAAAACCCCATTTTCCTGAAGTACATTCCTGTCCCAGGCCTGACCTGGAATTCTCACTTGACCTTGCTCAGTGGCCTCAGTGGGACCCAGCTGTGTCCTGGATCACACTAAGAGAACCAGCGCTCGAGCCTCCTCACATGAAGTTCTGAGGACTTGGGAGGTGGGGTCTTGGACAGTTGTCCAAAGGTTGTTGAAGAGCCCACCTTCAGGTAGGGTCAGGTGGGGAGCAGCACATTCACTATGAAGAGCTGAGTTGGATTCTGGTTTGTGAATTCCTCATTGCAGCGTTCCTTTAAGCAAAGACTCATCTCAAGTGTAGAGGAGGCGGATTCTCTCAGGTCAACCCAAGACTGCTCTCACCTTTGGACAAAGAACCTACTTGTACATCAAGTAGAACTCTGGTGGTGTTTTGTTGTGTCTCCTCCCCTTACCCTATTCCCCAACCTAGTATCTGACTGCCTCCACTTTGCATTTCCTTCTTTTTTTTCCCTTTAAAACATATTATCTATTTGAAAGACAGAGTTACAGAGAAGGAGACACAGAAGCTGAGAGAGAAATCTTCCATGCACTGTGTCACTCCCCAAATGGCTGCAGTAGCCAGAGCTGAGTGATGGGAAAGCCATAGACTAGGAACTTCGTCCAGGTCTCTGACATGGATGCAGGGGCACAGTACTTGGGCCATCTTTCACTGTTTTCCCAGGCACATTGCCACATAACTGTAATGGAAGTGGACCAAGTAGAAGTTGAACTGGTACCACAAGGGATGTGGTGCTGCAGGCATTGGCTTAACCCACAATGTCGCAGTGATGGCCCCTGCATTTCTGTCTTTAAGTCTTTGTTACAGCTGTTGGGTTGGTTTTGTAGATGGCAATTTCATGATGCTGCTATTTAAGTCTCATGACAGCCACTGTTGCCCAGCCCAGCTTTCGGTGTGTATGGTTCAAATTTATGAGCTAGCGAGAGGCTTATTTATATTTGTCTTCATTGGGACATACCATATCCATGCCCAGCCCTGGGCAGAACTCTTGGAGCCTCTCAGGATTCTGTTGCAGGCTGAAGAACCTGATTTGATTCAATTTGCATTTGATTTCCTATGACACAGTTTCCTATAGGGTCACAACGACACCATTCCTGAACCTTTTTTTTTGTTTTTGATTTGATAGGCAGATAGACCAAGGAGCCACTGTGATTTCTTCCACAGCTGGCATAAGGAGCCTGGAACTCAATCAGGGTCTCTCAAGTTCTTGAGCCATCACCTACAGCGCCCCCAGGGTTCACACCAGCAGGAAGGTAGAATTGGAAGCATTACCAGGTATTAAACCTAGGCAACTCCCATCTGGCATCTTCACGGCTGTACCAAAGGCTTGCTGGTGGCCATTCTTGCCTTGCCTGACCCCTAAGCCTTGGCTCAGGGCACTGCTGCAGGTGCAAGCAGTGTTTTTTTGAACTGCAAAATTCAGGGAGAGGCAAGTGTTTCCAAGTGGCTTCTGCAGCTAAGGGGGTGGGGATAGAGACTCGAGTTCTTTCCCTTAGGAAGGAATGAAAGCCACCATCTCCTCCTCCCTTTTGGACCTCCGTGTCCTGACACGTAGAGGGGGAAAGCCCCAATGCTTCCACTGCTTGGCCAAGGCTCTAGGATGACCAACTTTTGTTTGGATGAAACCACCCTTTCCTTTCAGCCCACAGCCACTTACAGTTTTGGCCATTGCTAGCATAGATCTTTGGGGCCAGCTTAGTGATGCGGCAGAAGGCTATGCATTTGGTGAGGGATCATGGTCTCTAAGCTCTAAGCCCCTCACTATCCATCCACCGACTTGATGTCTTAGATTCTCCAACATGAAAACATCTCTCAGTTTTTGGTCCCACTGTTAATGGCGACTGGGCTTATATTGTCAGTATTGGGAATGGAGTTACTATGTTTGTTTTCACGTGCTTTTGGGACCTATTTTCTCAGTAGTTATTTATTGGAATAACTATTGAATATTCAGAACAGCATTCCTACACCACAGGATATATTAGAATTAGCTAAGGGAAGTTTCTTTTTCTTAAAAAAAAATATTTTTATTATTTGAAAGGCAAAGCTACAGAGAGAAGTAGAGACAGGTCTTCCATCTGCTGGTTCACTCTCCAAAATGGTTGTAATAGCCAGAACTGATCATCGAAGATAAAGTGCTTTTTCTGGTCTCCGACATGCGTGCAGGGGCCCAAAGACTTGAGCTATCCTCCACTGCCTTCCTGGGTCATAATTAGGGAGCTGGATTGGAAGTGGAACAGCTGGGATACAAACCAGCACCCATGTGGGATGCCAGTATTGCAGGTGGAGGCTCAGCCTATTACGCCATGGTGCTGGTTCAAGGAAAGGTTGCAAATGCCTATCTGTGGACCTCCCACTCCAGAAACTTTTGATTCTATCAGAAAGGGCTATATTCTGCATTTTAAGACAGTAGTCTCTTGCCCTTAATAATCATACCCTTCTGGTGTAGGAAAACCTCAGGTCACTTTCAACCACTGAATTTTTATCACACACTTCATGGTCAGCCTTGCCCAATGAGACATACCCACCATGAACAAACCTAATTGCAACATCTACTTTTTGATTTTCCAGCAAGGACATGGAAAATATTTTTAAAATAACTTAGGAAAAATAATGATGTTCTCAGTAATATGTGGTTGGGAATGGGCTGTAGTGGCTCTAACTGTGGTGTCGCCAGTGACTCTGAGTAAAGGCTGAGTCTCGGATACATGAACCTGGGGCCAACATTAGGGTGTAGCAGATTAAGCTCCATCCTGAAACACTGGCATCCCATCTGGGTGCTGGTTCAAATCCCAGCTGCTCCACTTTTGAGGCAGCTCCCGGCTAACGCACCTGGGAAACCAGCAGAAGATGTTTACTTACCTTAAGAAGATGAATTCTGCTTACCTTTCTTTTGCCAGTGTCCTTTCCCTGAATGCTCTTGTTAACCTCGGTTCCCTGCAATTGTTAACTTCAGCAGCCCAGCTGTGTTGGCTGTTGCTCACAGAGCAGCAGCCTATCACAGCCCAAGGACTGGAAGGCTTCTGTGGGTAGTTTTTGAACTCGGTATCATGTGGTTGCCTGAGCAGAGCTGCTCCTGTGCAAACCAGGAGAATGCAGAATGATTTGGGAGAGTGTTCTCAGGATGACAGAATTCCTGCATATTGACAGCAGCTTCTAAATGTTTGTAAGTCTTGTACAGAAATAAATCACTGTTCTTGTGCAGCCACCACAGGGACACAAGTCCGGGAAGGCTTCAAGCAGTTCCTGTACTAACCAGATTCACCTTTCAGCATCTGAAAACAGTTTCTAGATGATCCAATCTGGATTAGGTTCCTTTGTTCTTGGCTGTGTCCCTTCTTGCTATTCTTATGCTGCTGACCCTAATACTTGGCCATTTACAAAAACCACCCTAGGGGCAGACATTTGGCATTGCTGTTAAGATGCCCACATGGAGTCCCTGGGTTCAAGGTCCCAATTTCAGCTCCCAGCTAGTGTACCTTGGGCATCAATAGGGATGGCTCACAAGTACTTGGCGTCCTGCTGTGTTCATGTTGAGTTTCTGGCTTCCAGTTGTCGCCTGGCCTGATCCTGGAAGTTGCAAATATCGGGAGGTGGTGGGGCTGGGGAGTGGGTGAGGCAGTGGATGGGAACTGTCTTTGTTTCAGTTTCTTTGCTCCTGAAATAAAGAGATAAATAAATAATTATGTTTGAAAAAGTTTAAAGAAGCCATTATTATCTTACTGAAACATTTTAGGGTTTTGTTTAGGAGTTGAATGTTGTTCACATAAAAGACAAGCGTCTTTGCAACCATGCAGTAAGAGCTTTAGGGGCACTGGGGGAAATTTGCATCCAAAATGGTTGTGTTTTATAGTAGGTACTGGTATCTGCTGATCCACTAAGCACCCATACATACTTGTCTGTCTAGGGTCTCTTCCATTTAACCTTTGGTCCATCAAGTTCAACAACCTGTGATTTCCAAATTGTTTGCATACATTTGACTACAGTCCGTGGTACTGCTTCCATCCAAGTGGACTTCTGGATCAAAGGACAGCATAGTTTTTGCTTGCAGATGCATGGTTAACTGTTCAAAGTGTAAGAACCATCTGCCTCAAGAATAAATTCCAGAATATTAGGTGCAATGCTAATTATCACAGGACATACTTGTCAGATAGGTTAAGGTTTGTCAGCTCTACAACTTGACTGTAATTTTAGAGCATGATTGTGATCATGCAGATTCGTTTTAGATGTATTCTTTATTTCAAAGAGTTACAGAGAGCAAGAGATCTTCCATCTACTGGTTCATTCCCCACATGGCAGCAACAGCCAGCCCTGGGCCACGCCAAAGTCAAGAGCTTTATCAGGGTATCTCAATGGGTGACAGGATTCTAAACAGATGGTCTACCTTGGGCTGTTGCCCAGACCGTTAGCAGGGGGCTAGATCAGAAGTGGAACAGCAGGCAGTGGCTTTATGTGCTGCAGCACAATGTGAGCTTCAAACCTCAAGATTTTGGACACTGTCGTGAACTCTTACCGTGAGCAGCCACTTGCTGTGTTTGTGTACCCCTGCTTCTACCTCTTCATTCCTGAGGGTGTTTTCCATTAAGTCACTTTTCATTTTGATGTCTGATTTTAGAACCAATCCTGGGCCCAGCACAGTAGCGTAGTGGTTAAGGTCCTCACCTTGAATGTGCCGGGATCCCATATGGGCGCTGGTTCTAATCCCGGCAGCTCCACTTTCCATCCAGCTCCCTGCTTGTGGCCTGGGAGAGTAGTCGAGGACGGCCCAAAGCCTTGAGACCCTGCACCCACGTGGGAAACCAGGAAAGAAGTTTCTGGCTCCTGGCTTTGGATCAGCACAGCACTGGCTGGTGCGGCCACTTGGGGAGTGAATCATCAGATGGAAGTTCTTTCTCTCTGCCTCTCTTCCTCTCTGTATATCTGCCTTGCCAATAAAATAAATAAATCTTAAAAAAAAAAAAAGAACCAACCCCATCTTGTGCCTCTTTTCACTCTACTGTGACTTTTCCCCTCATTGCCACAGATTTGATGCCTTGGTGGTATGGTTGTAAAATTCCTTCTGCAATCTGTTCTTGAGATTGGTCTGGTAGTATATAACTGCAATGTCCCTCTCGCCACTCTTTGCAGAGAAACCTGAGTCAAACCAGCGAGGAGCAGAAGCAACTGTCTGAGAAGCTAAAAGACGAAGTGGAGCAGAAGGAGCAGTTAAGAAGACTGAAGAACGACATGGAGGCCGAGCGATGGCACCTTGACAAGACCATCGAGAAGTTGCAGAAGGAGGTGAGAGGGCAGGAGGAGTGAGGAAGGTGGCACCCCTATTGGAACCCAGCGGACCCATTGCCCTGCGGAGTCTGATGAGAGCTGGGGCGTCCTTGAAGCCGACTAAGCACACATGGGTCAGGGCTTCACAGAACCTCCAAGGCAACTCTGTGGTTCGGTGGAGAACTCCAGAGAAGTGATTGGCGAAAGGAAAGCCCCATGCTATCTGGATTCTGGGCACTCACATCACCTCTGGACAGGTGATGGAGTGCACATGCAGCCAGGGTTCCTGTATCAGAAGCCGTGTGTCTTTGCGTCTGTCTGTCTTGTCCAGAAATGTGAAAGCCTAGGCCTGGATGATCTGCCCACCTCTGCCCCAAGACACGCAGCCAGGGACGCCAAAGGCTCTAATCTAATTCTTGCAATGGCAGATACAATGATTTCAGTATTTCCTATAAAGATGCAGTGAAGCTCAGAGAGGTTACATACCTGGAGGGGGGCAGGATACAGCAAGGGTCTGACCCCAGGGTTGGGTGTTGGGCTCCAGGGCCAGATGCTGCTCCCACTCTGACGGGACCAGACCTGGACCTGTCGTTTCTTGCAGATGGCTGACATCGTGGAGGCATCACGCACATCCACATTGGAGCTGCAGAACCAGCTGGATGATTACAAGGAGAAGAACCGCAGGGAGCTGGCTGAGATGCAGAGACAACTCAAGGAGAAAAGCCTTGAGGTGGAGAAGGCCCAGCTGGCGGCTGGCAAACTGCAAGATGAGGTAGTGTCCGGGAGCATGAGCTCTCCATTAATTCCATTGCAGGGCTGCTTCAGAATGCTTTTAAGGAGGACTTGGGAGTTGGTGGTTTTATTTATTAAGTCTGAAATTTAGGGTGGTGGGGGAGCAAGCATGTACTCCTTTGCACTGGTTTACCCCACAAGTGGGGGGCAGGATGCAGGGTGGGGAGGAAGGCTGCAGCCAGGAATGCAATCTGGGTCATCCCTGTGGGTGGCAAGGACCCAGCTGCTGGAGCCGTCACTGCTGCTCTTAGGGTCTGGATTAATGGGAAACTGGAGTCAGGAGCCAGAAACAGATCGTTGAACCTAGCCATGCTGGTACAGGTTGAGTTGTCTTAAATACAAACTCCATGGGGAGAGAGTCTTAAGATGGTTTTTGTGCTTCATTTTTTATTCTTAACTCCCCAGTGGTTACAGGGATAAATAATGTTGTAAGACAATGAATTCAATGATTCTGAGATAATACAGCTTTAAAAAAAAAAAGTTTATTTTTATCTGAGTGGCAGCTTTACAAAGAAGGAGGGATGCAGTGAGAGCAAAATTTTCCATTCACTGGTTCATTCCCCAAATGGTCACAATGGCCAGAGCTGCGTCGATCTGAAGCCAGGAGCCTGGAAGTACTTCTAGGTTTCCCCATGAGTGCAGGGGTCCAAGCACTTGGGCCATCTTTTGCTACTTTTTCAGGCACATTAACATGGGGTTGAATCGGTAGTGGAGCAGCTAGGACTTGAACCAGCAGCCATATGGGATGCCAGCAATGCAAGCTGAGGTTTAACCTACTATGACACATCCCTAAGATGACACAAGTTTATCAGACCATTTTTTCAATCCTAGAAGATCCACCACGTTCAATGGTGTACCCAGATATTTTACGCATTTATGTTTTAGTTTAATCCTAGAATAGGGATTTTAGTAGCTGGCTTTTTTTTTTTTTTTGCCATGCATTTTTGAAAATACAGATTTTTGCTGGGAGCAGGGTGCTAGATGAATAATTTTCAGAACAACCATAATGGTGAGTAGAAGAAATTCTGAGGAATCCAAGGGTTGAGATGATTCACATGTCTTCCCAGCTTTTCCAATTAAGAGAAACAGGACCAAGAAGCTTCAGCCTTGGCCTCTAATGAAATGTGGAACATGAGAACTTCTGAAACATTCTTTTAATGGGAAGCTGGAGGCTGTCAAATGCAAGTTCACTGGATGCTGATTTCTGGCTATGCCACCTGCCAGCTGCGTGATCCTGAGCAAGTGGCCGCTGTTTCCCGAACATCTGCTTCTCCTTCGTGAAAAGCAGACTGTCGGTGACTTCATAGCTCTCTCAGCTAACACGCTAGGCCTACGTGGCAGACACACATCCTGGACCTGACAAATGCTAGTTTTCCTTCCTTGAAAGTTTTTAATCTTGGCCAAAAGTGCCAAGATTTCACAGGAAAACAAATTTTCTTTAAAAAATAAATAAATAAACATGATTTATTTGACCATCAATGAAATATCAACTGTGAGTCTGTGCCAAAGCTGTCAGAGAGCCATAGATACTTATTATCGATTTCTGATAACAGAGCCTTTTGGCCTGGGATCAGGTGAGAGCAGACTCTGAGTAAGAACTGAAATTAGCATTGTGACAGCACGGCTTCCTTTGGCATTTAGCAACAGAGGGGAAAAGGTTTTCTTTTGCATGGCAGTGGTGAGGAGGGGTTTAGATGTTGGCCAGAGCAGTGCTGACGTCTGCCCTGTTTTGAACGGTGTCTGTTGCATCTGTAGAGTGGTCTTCCTTGCTGTCTGTGTAATGGTTTTGTAGCTCAGAATCATTGGAAGCAACTTGGGAATTTCTAGTTAGGGAACCTGAGGTTCAGGGATGGTGCAGGCCAGGTGCAGACCAGTGTTGCTTATAAAGGGACAGCAATTCCAGCAGAGGATCTCCTTCCATGAAATCAGAATAGATCTTTACCAGTTGGCACAGCCCCCTGTGAGGTACTATTCCCATTTAAATGGCAATGCTGGATATGTCAGTATTGTGAAGGTACAAGGAGGGCTTCCAAAAGTTGATGAAAATGGAATTTCAAGATGTTTATTTTAGTGCAAGGATTACATGTTTAAAAAAATTTTTTTTTATAATACACATTTTCTATGAGTTTTTGAAAGAACCCTCCTAATGCCTAGCTTCAGACGTTGATGTCATGGAGCTGTCTCAAGCCAAGGTAAATTACTGAGCGAAAGTTTTTGTGGATCTTTGAAAAGCTCAGTCATCTCTGATTCCTTTCCCTTACCCTATGTTTGGATTGAGCTGAGTTCAAGTTCTGAGTTATAAAGTCCTGAGAGGGCCCTTTGGGAACGCTGTAGTACTTGGCACCTGTGTTTGAAGAGTAATGGGCGCTTTGCTTCTTCTGCCTGCACTTTGGAGCTAGAAGAGTGCTGGTGAAGAGAATCCTGAGAGAATGTAGACCTGGAGTTGACCACTCATCCACTGACTTTCTAAGTTTTGTTGAGTGAAAGGTGATTGAACAAGTTCCAAGAAGCGCTTGTTGGTTCACGAGTTTCAGGACGAATTCTTCTCAGTCGCTAGACTTGGTTTTTTTTTGTTTTTTTTTTTTTTTTTTGTAGCCACCCCCCCACCTCTTTTTTTTTTAAGTGATTTTTATTTGAAAGGCACAGGCAAGAGAGAAACCTCTGTTCACTGGTTCACTCCCCCAAAGGACTACAATGACCAGCACTGGGCCAGGCAGAAGCCAGGAGCTTCTTCCAGGTCTCCCATGTAGATGCAGAGGTGCAAACCACTTGCGCCATCTTCCCTTGCTTTTCCAGGCACACCAACAGGGGGCTGGATCAGAAGTGGAGCCGCCAGTACTTGAAATAGCAGTCATATAGGGTGCATGGCCTTGCAGGTGGCAGCCCGGCTTACTACGCCACAGCATCAACCCTTGCACATACTTCTCGAATGCCCTTATTTTGCTGGAGCCCTTGCTCCAGTGTTAGGAGGGACCCCTGGATACTGGCCTGTGGGACCATACTGGGAAAAGAGGTACAGAGCCACATCGGATATTGGAGGGACATGCTGGTATTGGGAAGGGTGTCAAGAAGGAAGCATAGTGGCTGTGAATTTACTTAACAGTCTTTCTGACTCCTATTCATGTCTCTCTTTGTTATCTTATTTCTGTAAGTAGGTTTTATGATTCTAATGTTCTAATGTTGCATACAAAGGAAATTGAGTCATGGAGAGATTTCATCTCTGCTTTGCTGTTATAGTACAACTTCTGAACCCAGAGAATGTCTGTTAACACTGGCCTGTGGGATGCTTTTTATTGCATGCTTTCATTCTGTTTTTATCACAGTGACTGTTAGAACTTAACTAGAATCTCTTGGAAGTGTCAGGTGTTCTGGTTTCCCATGGAAGAACAAATTTTCTAAGGTTTTCCCACTAGTCCTCCTGCACCAGCCTAACCTGTTGACTTGGCTGTGACAAATGCCCCCCAAAGTTACCCTGAATAATGGAGTTTGCCAGTCATTTTGATAGTTTTCCTGCAGAAACACGGCTCTTTGTGTTGTGTTCCTAAGCCCTGCCTCCCCATGCTGACTTGTACTTTGTCCTGGAAGGTAGGACCTGGGGAACTGAACAGCCAGCCTGAAGCATCACCATGTGAGTCCCTACAGATGGTTAAGGACAGCCCACCTTATAGCCAGCTGGCAAATTTTCTTCTGAGATACTGAAGATGAAAACAGATCAACTTTTCCTCCAAAAGTGTTAGCTCAGTGCCACCTTGTGGTTGGAAAAAACTCTGTAAATTATGTTCACTGATGGATTGTTTTCTTCTGCAAAACAGTGGTTTTCAGGCAGGTGTTGTGGCCCAGCTGGTAAAGCTGTGGCCTGTGATACTGGCATCCCATATAGGAGCCAGTTTGAGTTCCAGCTGCTCCACTTTTGGTTCGGCTTCCTGCTAATGTACTAGGGAAAACAGCAGAGGCTGGCCTAAGTGCCCGGGCTGTACCTATGTGGGACACCTTGAAGAAGCTGCTGCCTCCCGGCTTTGGCCTGGGCACTGCAGCAGTTTGGGGAGTGAACTAGCAGATCTCTCTGCCTTTCAGATAAATAAAGCTTTTTTGTTTCTTGTTTTGTGTTGTTTTAAAGCAGTTGTTTTCACTAAATGTGTGTTGATATTGCTGGATTTTGTGTCTGCAGATTGCTTTGAGGTCATTCACTTGGTTTTTGTTTTCTCCAAGTTGTAAACCATCTTGGAGGTGATCTGGTAAATGTGAGCGACACTTTACTCTCTGGGGAACACTTGCCTAATTGAGTGGCTTGCAAGTGGCTTTGACCACGACCTCATAGTAAGAGCTGCATCTTGCGTTGCCCTCTCACATGTTCCATGCACATTCTCATGCAGGATTTCCTGATGCAAATTTCACGAGAATATTTGCTTGTACTCTACTGCTTTTTTCCTGTTCTCATTAGAAAATGCTTGTCAAAATCTAGTAACTTAACATTGAGTGCAATGAGTTGCTTCCTATAGCAGAAAGGTCTGTTTGGGTAGTTTTTTTTCTTTGTTTTTAACACAAGAGGACACAAGGCCTGTGAGGGGGTGGGACTGGCTGAAGGTCTCCTGGTCTCCCATGTGCTGGGCTCCAGCGGATCTGCTTGCCTCTGGGCTCAGCTCAGCCCTGGCCCTGTCCCCCTAGATGCGCGTGATGGAGGAGGAGTTACGGGACTACCGGAGAGCTCAGGATGAAGCACTCACAAAGAGGAAACTTCTGGAGCAGACGCTGAAAGACCTGGAGTATGAGCTGGAGGCCAAAAGTCACCTCAAGGATGACCGCAGCCGACTGATGAAGCAGATGGAGGTCTGTGGGCCGGCCCGGGGAGTGCCAACTCTCTGCCCACCCCTTGGGAAGTACTGGGTTTCTGTCCCTTTCATCTTCCGGGCCTGTAAAAGGTCACTTCTTGATTTGGGGGAGAAACTGATAGATCGTAGTGTTGGGCTGTGAATGCTGGAAGGAATGATGGACATAATTTAATCTAAAGGCTTATAAAGGAGAAGAGACCATGGGATTTGGCACGAGGACACAGGTAGCTGATTTCCATTTATTCTTTTGGGATAAAGATTCCAGCTGCAAAGGTAAAAACTGCTGTATATCAGGAGAGGGGTGGAGGTGGGCCCTTTACCCAGTCCACCCACCTCCTGGGGACCACCAGCAACCCATTCATCACACTGGTTCTTGTTTCCTGTTTCTGGCCTATTTCTTCCAGATTGTCTAGCTCACCAGAGCCAGTAACAGAGTCCAAGACAATATAGTCATCAAGTAGGAGTGATCTGGTCACAGATGAAGACACAACACATTAGAAAAACCTAGACAAAGGATAGACTCTTAGTACAAGAGTCTATGAGAAATACGGGAAGGACGTTAACATTTAGTCCCCAAGAACAGAATGGTCCTCAAACCAGAATACACACACACACACACAGAGGAATTTAAGGAGAGTGAAAGAGAGACTAAGATGTAAGCCTCAGACTTTGGGGAGAAGATAAAATTGTCAAGGTTTTGATAAAAGGCAGACTGTCCTCAAGGCCAGGGGGAGAAGGCTTGAATTCAGAATCACTGGGATTCCTGATTCAGCTTTGCAAATAAACAGAAATAACATTTTACAGCCTTCAGGGGACTTAGTGACTGTTTATATCTGGAGTCTGATGTTTCAGCATTGAAGATTTTATTAGAAGGGGCCTCCTTCAGAATGCAGAATTACCTGATTATATATAGTTTTACTGCTCTAGTGCAGTCTGACTGTACATTTTGCTAACATCCTTACTTTGATTTTTGGAAGGGAGATGAGTTTGAAGCAAGTGGAAGCCAGTTTAAAGCAAGTGAAAGTTAGCTAGAAAGTTAGCTATCATTTTAGGGCTCAAGCAACTTGGCCTAAAAGGAAGCTCACGTCTTGTGTGTGCGAAGTGGCTCTGGGCCGGGCACCCACGTACACCTGCTGGGTCTGAAGCAGCCAGGCACCCACATACACCTGCTGGGTCTGAAGCAGCCTTTCAGCTGCCAGTCACGGTGCCAGATCACCTTCTTGTAGAATATTCTGAGAACAGCATTTCTTCTGGCTGTCTCTACAGTCTAGGAGCAATGGGACTGCCAAGCTTCCTTCACCCCTGTGCAGTATTTTAGACCATTTCTCCATGAATTAGAAGATGAGTTTCTTTCCTGGGCCAGCCACCATAAAATACGTTTGAGGGGCGGTTCATTCCCTCAGAGGTGGCTGGAAGGACTACGTCGCTGTGACTGATGCTTCCCCTGTTCCCTCATTAGCACGTCTCAAATATGTTCTCAGGACTTAGCCGTCTCAGGGATGGGCATTACAGAAAACTCGGCCCTCCAGGTGGCTGCTGAAACGAAGAGCAGCTCACAGCAGTGGACCTGCTACAGCTAAGAGCCGCTGTTCCAGGACCCTGTTCTGTCCTGCAAGCTCCCTAGCGGTCCTACAGATGTTGATCACTGCCAGGGAAGGCAACTTGCAGCCACTGAGTCACTTGTGGGAGTTGTGTACATTTATTTTTGATGCTGAACAGAGGCATCTATTATTTGCCAACCAACTCTGGCAACTACAGAAACAGTGTCTGTGCATGTCGTTGTGTCTTTGTGGTTCTGAGCTTACCCAGATGTTTGACTAATTGGCTGGTGGTGCATGCACAAAGCCTGTGTCTCCTCAGTTCCAGGTGGATGGTTTTTGTTAGAAACCTTTTTTTCTCCCCCAAACACAAAGCTAAATTTGCCTTAATACCCAAGGAAATTAAACTGGGAGACAGTGAGGAAGACATGATTTGTTATTCTTGGATGATGATGGATTTCACAGGATTGGCCAGCATTGTCTATGTTATTTCAATGCACAATGCAAAGTGGATGGAGTTTTCTAGAAAAGACAGGCAGATGCAGGGCTTCTGGTAACTGAGTAAGAGAGAGACAAAACATTGCCCTGGGCATGACAAATGTACGGGAAGATATTTTTAAAAGGAACTGGGCTTGGTAGATAGATCTGTTTAAAGTTACCGATTTATGGGAACATGTTAAAATAACATTAGTGTTAGATTAGAGGTGGTTTTTTTCTATGTTTTCTACATGCACAATTGTACCTTATGCTCCGAAAGCCAGGAAGCACATGGTTCTGAGTATCTGTTGTGGGCAATGTGAGAAGCAACAACTCAATTCCAAATTCCAATCACCCTCAGTTCTCACTTGCATATGGGGCAGCTCTTTTTCCTGATCCAGATCAATGCAAGTAAGGTGGGTTCTCTGTGTCGTTTCTGCCTTAGGACAAGGTGTCCCAACTGGAGCTAGAACTGGAAGAGGAGAGGAACAACTCAGATTTGCTGTCTGAAAGGATCGCTCGGAGCAGGGAACAGGTACCGTTGTGTCATTGAGTGATGGATCGATGGACCCTTGTGGGAAAGAAATGTGCGAGGTTAAGCCTGGGCATTCAAGGAGTACGAGAAGGGAAAACCATGTCATGTGGAAAGTGATGGCTGATGGAGTAGTCTTCCCGTCAGAAGTCACTAAAGAAATAGGGAATAAGAAGTTTCTAGATGGGTAATGGGTAAAATGCTTTTGGAGCTTAGACTGTAAGACTCATTGATCCAAGCACCAGAGTAGGTGGCAAAAGCAAGTTCCCAGGGGAAAAGCTTTTTCCTTAAGGAACTTTAGACTGATTAGCGCTGTGTACACCCAGAGTGTTTACAATCCAGTAACAGTACTTCTGAGTGAATGCTTTTGATGAATTTGAAAAGAATTTCTTGTGCATTTCATCTGTGAGAGGCAATCAGGGCCATTCTTATTCTATACCCTAGATGACAATTTCCCAAGCTATGCTCAATGGCATGCAAAACTGATGTAATCCACAACTTGTTTCCATTTTTTGATGAAGTGACAGCTCAGGTTGCCATGTAACGGACTGGGTAGAGGAGTGGTCATGTTCTTTTGAAGCAGTTAGTGCCATGTTTGTGTGCCCAGTGCATGCCCTGCCTACTTGACAGGTTACAGAATGCGACGCTTGGGGACAGGATTTGTTCAGTAGAGGATTAGCCTGCTCTCTTAAGCCTCAGTCCTTTGTTTTGATACTAGATGCACAAGGAGAACTCTTGATACCTGTGCTTTCAGTACCCACTTGACCACGTGCTTCATGGCTGTGGCCCCAGGGAAGTGGTGGAGAGATTTGGACCTCTTCCTTGACCGGGGTCACGCTTTCTTTAAACGATGAAAACAGAACCTCATAATAACAGGTTTCCAGCCTAAGGCTTTTTCCCCCTGTTGGTATGCAGGATAATATTTTCCTGATTGATCTATTCATGAACCCTAATCGCTTTCAAATCGGACTGAGAAGGATGGATTTAGATTTGATAAAATCATGTCTCTGCTTAAACATGAGGTGAGGATGTAGTTTTACTATTACAGAAGGGCTTTGTAACAAGTTAAAGGAAAACTCAGTGGAATAGTGGATGTTTTACAGCTTCTGATCTGCTTAAGTGCAGAGATCTTATTTCCTCTCCTTCCTCCATTTATGATGGTTTACAGTCTACCCGTGGAATCTAAGTACTAGGCCACATTTTGCTTTCACCCTGGAGGTAGACTCTGTAAGGGTCCTTGAGACCGCACTCCCAGTGTCTTTGGTCTTTTCTCTGCAGTGGAAGATGCCTCGGTGTTTATGGAGGACAGGAGGCAGCAGCCAGAGGGTGGTCCAGGCTGGGATATGGATGTGCACTGCAGGCCAGAACTATAGGCCATTGCTGGTGGCTGAGTGAGAACGGTTAACAGGGCTGCGCCCAGGCATGGAAGCAAAATGAGCCAGCCTAGGCAGCTGGCAGGCAGGAGGAAAAATACCAACTCGAGGTTTAGGCAGTTTCCTGGTCTTTCCAGGAGCTCAGCTGCCTTGGCAACTGCAGGATAAACCCCAGTGGATGAAGTGGCAGGCTCCTGCAGTCACGGTCAGGAACTGCCCTTCCGTGGCCAGCTCACACCTGCTGCTGAGTCACCACTGAATTTGTAAGCAGGGGGGTTGGAGGCAGTGCAGCTACCAGTGAGTGAATCTGGAAATAGGCTCCTTTGGAATCATTGAGCAAATGATCAAAGTGGGGTTTCTTTATTCTGAGCCAAGCCTCAGAACTGCATCCCAGAGTAGTGGCTGATCGAAAGCCCAGTGTGGACAGTTGACCAGTTGCTGTGTAATCATTTTTCCTTTCTTGGGATCATATCTTCCTAGTGGCTCACAGCAGTGGCTTCTCAAGATCTGTGCTGCCCAAGGAGTAACAGAGGTGATGAGGTTAGAGAAAGTTACCTGTCGGTAACTCAGGCATTTCTCTGGCTTTTCTGGAACACAGAAAGCAGCTGCTTCCAATCCTGAGCACTGCCCAACCATGGGATCCTCCCTTCTTCCCCATGAAGCCTAGTGCAATCTGATAGTTATTTCCCACCAGAAGTCACAGGCTTCGGCCTCCTTTCCATGCAGCTGTGATACGGTCGCCTTTCGCTTCTGCTTTTAATTCAATAGGAAAGTTTGTGTTTGGCCCATTTGATGTAGTTGAAGGGTAGACGGCATCTAACGGCCCCAGGCTTACATCAAGACATGTTTTCCCAGCTTGAAATTTATTTCCCAGGACCAGAGGAGGAAGTGGGCAAAACATGCTACCTATCCCCAACGCACTTGCACTCTACCCCTGTTAAAACCAGAATGGCTTAAAATTACAGCAAGTCACTGGGCCCAACTGTAGGATCCGTGTCGTGAGAAGCACGGCTGAAATTGGCTACCCATAGCCTAGTTCTGACTTAGGGCGGGACCCATCCTTGCGGGGCATTGTGCCTAACACCGTGTAATTTTCCCTTAAGGTTCTGTTGGTGGATTTACTTTCATGTCAGCTGTCATTTTGGAAGAATCGAAGGAAGCCCATTATGTTTGCCAACAGCCTTGCTTTCCAAAAGGCCCAGGAGAGCTGGACTGCCGGGCCTCAGAGCTGAAGTTTTACAGTTCTGTTTTTATTTCTTCCTGTGCTCTCCTCTGATTTATTTTGCACTTCCATTTTAATAGCCATCTTTAGAAGGACTGACTGTTTTGCTTCTTCCTGTGGAGGTCACTGTTTGCCTAGGGCTCTCCAGGGAGGTCTTAAACCTGCAGCGACCCTCACGGAAGCCGCCCAGGAAGGTGTGTGTGTGTGTGTGTGTGTGTTTGTTCTTATCCCTGCTGGGATTCACATTTCCCAGCATGTAGGCACCAGGAGGAGCAGGGTTTATCCCAAGTCCTGCTCCCTCCAGGCGCTACTGAGCTTTGCTCAATCTCCCATGGCTGCTTCTCTCTTCTAGGCTCCAGGGTTTCAGCCAGGATTCGGCCTGCTTGGGGACTTTTCTCGTCCTTGGGAGACCCCCAAGCCCTGCAGTTTGCTGTGTTGGCAGTGGCAACAGGGGGCAGTGGGGGGAGAGGGCAGAGAGTACAGGAATTTAGAATCCCCGAGAGCTGCTTCCAGCTCTCTCTGACTCAGCGGTCTCGGAAAGCTCCTCCCTGGAAAGCCAGGGTGAGCAGCTCTGCCTCAGTGAGTTTCCAGGGGGGGATTAATGGGCTCAGTGTGGCTGCCTGGGCTTGGCTGGAGGGGAGTTGGGACGGGGGCATCGGGGGTTTGATGTTTCAGGAGGCGGCGCTCTTCCCAGGGTAGGCCCTATACGGGTCTGTTGTTAGTGTTTCACTTGGGGTGATCGATATAGCCTGGAGGCCCTCGCCCCTCCCAGCACACAGGTGCACCTCTTCACTCTCTCACCCGGACAGTGAGTCTTTGCCTAGGGTAACTTTCTAAAGGTTAGAGAGATGGAGGGGCAGGCTGCTCAAACCAGAGGCAGGTACATTGCACAGTATCCCCAAAAGAGGAGATGGCAAAGGCTCCCCTTACAGGCTGTCCCTTCTGAGTGCCTTGGACGCAGCATCCTACAGGGGAGATGAACAAGGTCACACACCAGGGAATGGCAGAGCCAGCAACAGAGGCGGGGTGGATGCTGCTCGCGTGCGTCATCTCTTCCATGGCAGTGAAAGTTTAACCTTGTCCTCCGAGAAGTGCCCTGGGTATGCACGACCCAGCTGTGCCTGGGAGGTAGGTCTGCGGTCCCGTGGCCCAGCCATTCTAATGCCCTTGGTACAGGTCAGAGCTGGATTGTGAGCCTGCATTTGTTACCCTTGGACCTTGTGTGCCTAGCAGAGTCTGGGATTTGGCGTGGTGCCCTCTGTGACCTGTGACTGGGGAGCCCTGGGCCAGGGCCACGGGAGGTGGGTTCTGGGCTCTGCCTGCTGATCCTTTGCATTGCTAGCACTTCCTACTTCCTCTCAATAAGGATGCTGTATTTCAGTGGCAAGTATCCTTGAATGCTGTGCCCTTAATTGCTTCAGAGACTGGGCAATAAATGGGCTTAGGTGAGTTCTGGTTCTTATCTATGGCTTGCATAACTGCCCCCAGCCCTCTCTTAAGCAGTAAAAATTTTCCAAAGATCAATTTATTTGAAACGCAGTTAGGTAGAACAGCCAAGCGTGGAACCCATGCTCTGACACAAAATGCTATGTTATGTTGCGTCACCTTGGGCTATTTAAATCTTGACTTCGATTCACCCGCCAGAAGTCAAAAGGTGAGCATTTTCTATTATCACCACTCCCCCACCACCACCCCCAGTTCTTGCGCTCTTGGCAGGATGGTGGGGAAAGGGAATCCTTATCTTGTACCACGTGGCAATGTGGTTGGGCACCTTCATGTCAAATGCATCCAGGCAGTTTACTGAGTACTCATTTCTCTTCTGTAACAATCTGTAACCGCTGCGTGGCCTGCTCCTGGCTTCTCCAGAGCGCCCTCTGCTGGCCAGCTTCAGGAACGGGGACTGGCCTCCACTCCCCTACTCTGGTCATTTCCTGGCAGCTGGGCCTGGCATGGGAGAATGACAGCCCCTAGAGTTCTTCTGCATTGCTGTGCAGCTCAGAGACTCTCGGTAAGGTTTAGCCTGTCAGGTCACCTGGAGCTGCCCGGTATTCACACTGCCTGCTGCTGCCGAGAAGCCCAGAAGCGGAGAACTCTGGCAGCAGCGTTTGGGCTGTGATGGCCGTGCAGCCCTTTCTGATGTTGGAACTTGAAATGCAGCAGTCAGGGATGCACCGTTTCAGGGCTCTCGCAGACTGAGAGATACTGAGTCATTTCCTTGGGCTGTGGTACAGTTCTCGAGGGCGGAAGTCTGAGACCGAAGTGTTGGCAGGGCCATCTTGCCATGCAGACCTGGGGGAGGACCCTTTCTTGCCTTCTCCCACCTTCCAGTGATGGGCCATAGATATGCATTGCTGTCCCTTGGCCTGCAGGGGCTTCACACGCGCCTCGGAGCTGTTGTCATGTGCTCTCTTCCCTCTTGCGTGTTTTCAAATTCCCTTTTGGTGAAGTCTGCTGGCCGACGGTCCACCAAATGACTTCACTGTAATCTTCATCTCCAAACAAGGTTCCATTCAAGTTCTGCAGACTAAGATGTTAGCATCTCTCTTTAGGATGGTACAGTTCAACTTACATCAGCAGGGTGAACTGTGGTTAGTATTTAGCTGTTTATTTGTGGAAAAGCATAGAGAGAGGGAGAGAAAGAGAGGTATTCCATCCACTGGGTCATTCCTCAAATGGCTCCAGTGGATAGGAATAGGCCAGGTCAAAGCCCAGAGCAGAGAATTCCATCTGGGTCCCCCATGTGAATGACAGGGACCCAAACACTTAAGCCACCTGCTGCTTTCCCAGGTGCATGGGCAAGGAGTCGAGTCCTGGACTCAGATTGGCACTCTGGCAGAGGCTGCCAGCATTTCAAGCGGTGCCTCGGCATTGGCTCCCATTTATCATTATTTGTGTCGGTATCTTAATTAAGCAATACCCTGCAGCCAAGGGTAGATGGCAGGAGGGGCACTGTCAGGTGACGTGGGGACCACAGCGGAGGAGCAAGCCCCTTCACCTGTGGGTCTGCCTGCTGCAGATGGAGCAAGTGAGGAACGAGCTGCTTCAGGAGAGAGCTGTGAGACAAGACCTGGAGTGTGACAAGATTTCCCTGGAGAGACAGGTGAGCACCACTGCCCTGTGAGTACCTCCCTCCTCCAGGATGGTGGGTGCACAAACGTTAGATGGTGACAGCTCCAGGGCGAGGGTATGCAGGAGCACCCCCGTTGCTGGGAAAGCCTGCTTGTCCCATCACGGCCTTTACTCACTGTTCATGTCAAACCACGCTTTGCTGGGAGGAAGCAGCTTGGGCCCCTCTCACATGCTGGAGCTTTGAGACAGGCCAGAGATTTCATTCAGGCCCAAAGGGGCTTGGGTTAGAATCTTCTTTCAACTTGTTAGGGTTTGACTTGAACAGCTAGGCCTGGAGACCTCTCTGGGCCACATGTACTGGTGTGCAAAACCTCCCTTACGCAGGCACTGACCCACCCTTTACTTCCGCCTGTGTTCTCTGCACAGCACCTGGTTCCCACACAGCCCCTCACAAAGTTACCCTTTCTGATTCCAGAACAAGGACTTAAAGAGCCGTGTTGTCCACCTGGAAGGCTCCTACCGGACCAGCAAGGAGGGGCTGGTGGTGCAGTTGGAGGCCCGGATCACAGAGCTGGAGGAACGGCTGCAGAGTGAGGAGAGGTGAGCCAGCCCTGCTGCAGGGGCCCCCAGGATGACCTGTAAGGGAGCAACAATGCACCCCTGCTCCTGCGGCTTCTGTTTCCCACACTGGAATGCTGAGCCCCGTCCAAGTTCATGGTTTGAGGAAGGAAGCCTGGCTAAACCTGAGAACAGCAGGGTTAGACCTCTCAAGTCCATAGCTTTGACACTGTGTTGTCCTTCTCCCCATATCCTGAGGAGGGCATGCTGCCCCCTCCACTCCTGTCAGTAGAGGCTGGGAGCTGGCTCAACCCTGGAAGTGAGGGATGCAAAAGCAGAGGGGACATGAAGTCCCAGGATCACACTCTTTCCCAACACCTCCATGCTCCGCTGTGAATTTATGTAGCTCTGAGGTCAGCACCTGGCTTACTTGGCCCAGGAGGCGCTTCCTTGTGGCCCCCTGCCTTCGAAGCAGGGGTATGTTCTCTGGGCTGTTTCAGTAGTACCAACTGATGGAACAGCCCAGAGCAGACCAGGAGAGCCACAGGCTGCAATTGTCTGTCTTACAGGAGTGCCATCTAGTTTTCTCTGAACTCTGTGTTGCTCCATTTCCTCTCGTAGTGTTGTGTGCTTTTGTGGTGTCTGGCCCCCGCCCCCGCCCCCGGTTGGCATTTCCCCTGGGAATGGCTGGGATTGAGAAGGGCCCTCGGTGTCTGTCCCCCCATCTCCCTACAGAGACCGCGCCAACCTCCAGCTCAGCAACCGGCGGCTGGAGCGGAAAGTGAAGGAGCTGGTGCTGCAGGTGGACGATGAGCACCTGTTCTTGACCGACCAGAAGGACCAGGTGAGGCAGCCTCCGTGGCTTTGTGGCTCCTGTAGGGGAGGTGAGACATGAGAAGCCAGGCATGGGGTTAAGGCGGGCTGACACCTCCATCACCATTTGTAACCAACTTGGAGCTCTGAGTTTCGCTTCTCAAAAGTGTGGAGTGCTCTTATAAAAAGATTGCTCCCTGCTTTCCCAGCTGTGGGCCCGTGTCCTCCATATCTCAGTTGCTGGCTGCCTGGCACCTCCGTGCCTCATCTTAGGCCAGCAGCAGCCCTAACCAGTCCTGTCTCTCCCGCTGCAGCTGAGCCTGCGCCTGAAAGCAATGAAGCGACAGGTAGAGGAGGCAGAAGAGGAAATTGACAGACTGGAAAGTTCGAAGAAGAAGCTGCAGCGGGAGCTGGAGGAGCAGATGGACGTGAGCGAGCAGCTGCAGGGGCAGCTCAACTCCATAAAGAAGGACCTCAGGTGGGCAGAGGGTGGCCTCCGAGGGCCAGTAGCCCCAGAGGTTTGAGGAGGGAGTGACGCTTTTAGTTGAGTTGTGTGTTCCCTCGTGCTGCCTCAAGGCTTTCGCCAGTGCTTGTCTTTTGAGTCATCCCATCCGAGGTGAAGGTGGCTGTGGAACCTGCCGCAAGTCACCCTGGTACCGGTGCCAGCTGAGCCGCCATCTTCCCCGTGGATCTTAGGGGGATTGTGAGGGTTGGGACAGGCCTTAAGGAGATCATGCCACATTGAGGAGGTACCTCCTGAACAAGCCTTCTTTTTTTTTTTTTTTTTTTTTCCAAAATGAGATAAAAAGTTCACTGGTTACTCTCTTCCTAGCTTTGGTCCTAGGATATTTTGGGGGAAGGAGTGCTGAGATTCAATTCCTGTTCACCCATGAAATTGAACCCCTCTTGCAGATGATTGGAGCTTGGGGTTCTTTGCTGGCTGCCTGTGGTATTCTCTTATAAATGCACAGAAGTTTCCAACCCATGGAGATGACTCTTGTCCACCAGGCCTTGTCCCAAGCTCAGCATGAGGGAACCGCACGTAAGAGGCCACCACACATCCCAGCAGTGAGATAGGCAGCAGCTTCAACAATGCTGTATGCAGTTCACACTAGTTAACATATTTGAGATGAACATGGGACCAGCAGTAGCCTCGCACCTGCCCATAGGGGTGGGTCAGGCCTAGCACTGTCAACTCCAGCTTTCCCTGCCAAAGGGTCTAGCTGGCTCTTATGTTGCCAAAGGAAGCGTCAGGTGCAGACATGTGAAATTCATGTGCTTCTGTGCCCCACCCCCCGCCCCGCCTCCATCACCGAATCAGAGCTGAGTCCCCAGCCCAGCCCCAACTCTGAAAACAAGCCCCTTGCTGTTTTGGCAGGCTCAAGAAGTTACCCAGTAAAGTGCTGGACGACATGGATGATGACGACGACGATGATGACCTCAGCACTGATGGAGGCAGCCTCTACGAGGCACCCCTGAGCTACACCTTCCCCAAGGACACCACTGTTGTCAGCCAGATCTGATTCCCGCCCCTGGAGCTCAAGAGGCTGTCCATTCCCTACAGGAATGCTGCAGCCCCAGAAAGGACAGGGATGGGAGATTGAGTCTACAGTGGAGCCCGTGGCTGCCTCTGCACACAGCATCCCTGCCTAGGGTCTCTCTGCGGGTGAGCACCTCTGGGAGCTTGGACCCTATGTGTTGAGACGCCAAAGCCATGGACTCATGCCCCCCACCCTCCCCTGCATCCTGCCCCAGTGTTTTTGGAACACTTGAGTAGTGAGGCCCCTGTTCTGCCCAGCTGACTGCCATCACCACTCACATCGCCTTCCTAGCCCACGTGCCAGGGTCCACGCTGCTCCTGATTATTTAATGCCACTGTGCCTGGAGGACTGATATGTGGGTTGTACATGTTTTGAACCAGAGCCTACTGCTCATGGGCTGTCGCTGTTCCATTTTGGAATGTTATGGAGCCTTCATAGGCCGTTGGGTCAGATCACACGTTTGTACTCTTCCGCCCCACCCCCGACCTCCAGATATGAAGTTACTAGACTTTCCATACTATGGAGCAGGAGTGAGGGAGAAGGCAGGCAGAATCACTGCTTTGGAAGTCAGAGTTGGCCAAAAGGTAGACTGGCTAAGGATGTGCTGCCAAGGGGGAGAGAGACGAAGTCACTTATGTAGCTGTAGCCATGGAATTGGCTGCTTTTTTTCCCCTAGAATTCCAGTGACATTTCTGAACTACCGTTTGCTCTAATGCAAGTGGTTAGAGGGACTGGGTGGGAGAGGTTTGCCTAGGGGAGACTAGCAGGTTAGTTAGGAGACAGAAGTTCGTGAAAGCTGGGGGATGTGTAGGCATGAAGGGGGTGAAGCAGGACTCTCAGGTTGAAATCACAAAAGGGAGGAAAGAAGAGCAAGTGAGGAAGCATTGCATCTATGCAACTCTGCCTCCCTGTGTGCTGGCACCTGGCACGAGGACCAGGGCAGGGAGGAAGCTGGGCATTCGGGCCTGAGCTTCTGTGTCACCACCTGCTGTGAGAGTGCTCCGACAGGCCTGTAGGGAGAAGGTGGCAGTGTAGGTATGGGGTAGGATGGCTGTGACAAGCTGTTTCAGCCTAGTGCAGAGGGCTCCACGCCCAGGGAATTCCGTGAGACTTTAAACACACCCAGATACATCAGAGCCCAGCCCACAGGGGTTCTGAAGCCTTCCTCTATAGGATTCCCATTGCTGTCCTTCCCTCTGCTTGCTTGTTAGGTATGCAGCAATCACTGCCTTTAACCATGCCTCCACTTAGCATATTTACTGGATCACTATGCTGGCTCGGCCATGACCCTAGACAAAACAGGTAATAGAACACCCACTGTCCAGGACAGTGGGGTTCAGGGCAGAGGGGCTCACCAGATGGACAAGGCAGATCTCCATCCACAGTCGCTCTGTCGTGGGGGATATCCCAGGCCGGTGGTGGAGTGCTCCTGGGCGTTCTCTGACACTCACCTCCCCACTAAGCCCTGCTGCTCCAGCCCCCTTCTAACCAGAAATACAAGCTGAGTGCTGCATCCCCCCGGTGTTCTAGGAGTTGAGTGATTCCGGTTGCCCCTCCGGTTCCCCTTTCTGGTAGCCAAGAGCCTGGCTACAGGCTGCACAACTGCCCCATACAAAAGAAGTCACCCTTCCACTTCTTTGCCTTGCTCTCCTAAGAACAGACTGGTATGCATTTTCCTGGTCATGCCACCCTCCACTGTCACAGGGCTGGCAGTGGGCTGCATGCATGCAGGGACTACAGAGGCACACTGCCCTGGGCATTGACAGAGAGGAGCTTGCATCCTCCCTTTACCTATGACCTTGACAGGGCACACCCGAAGCCATGGGACAAAGACAATTTGGGCCCAAAGTTCTTTCCCTGCTCTAACTTGTGATTCTTTGAGTTTATTTTATATACCTATCTATTTTTTTTGTCCTGCTTATGCTAATAACTAACCCTGCTCATGAATATTCGCTTTAGTTAGCTTAACGAAATGATGTAAGGAAAAACTCACGTGGCCAAATGCAAAGCCGAAGAGACAATCATGATCTCTTATTAGCCCTTTCCTGCTTCGGAGTGTCCTTCCACAACACAGACTGGCATGTCGGTGGGGAAGAAACTCATTGCAGCTACCTCCGTGTAAGAGAGTTCCTGGATGAAGCGAGATTTCCTTTCAATAAACAATGTCACCCCCACAGGAATCCTGACTCCTCTCTTGACTTCCTTGTTTTCTCAGGAACTTGGCTCGGTACTGAGGAACTGCCAAGGTGAAGGCTGGGAGGTGACTAGGAGAGGTAGAACTTTGCTCATCCAGCCCTGGACCAGGAGAAGGCTGGGGGAGCGGCAGGGACGCTGAGGACGTGAATGGCCCCAGCTGGTAGTGATGCTCTGAGAAATGCAATTGCCTGGTTAAAACATTGCCAGAGGGGAGGTGTGTTCAGTGTTAGTAATGGAGAGCAAACAGACCCACCCCTTCACTCCCCACCCCTCTGCACAATCCTTTCTCCCAAGCTGCGTTGGTTCTCCAGTCACGGTGTACGCGATCGCTTACAGCAGATGCGAAGCAAGCTGTCAGAGACCTGTAAGAACCATAGACCTCTGCTCTGCTCTGCCCTCTAGCGGCTGACCCACGGAGGCTCTGGCTCCTGGGAACACAGGAGAGGCCTTTCTCTGGCTCCCTGCTTCAGGCAGCATTTGGGGGTGAAATCCCCAATAGTGCACATTTCCAGTGGACCCCTTGACCCTCTTTCCTTATCCCTCCAGTTCAAAAGGTGGTCCTGGCCTCCTGGGGCCGTTGCCCCCTGCATCCACAGGCAGCTCCGGGTGGAGGTGAGTCCTGCACCACTGCCAGTCCCCAGGGCAGCTCTTTGCTATCGGAGTCCCTGCAGTCTGATGCTGGTTTCTGCCCAGAGCTGTGCCATGCACTGCCTCTTAAAGTCCACAGCCCCTGCTGGCACCCATGCATGCAGCTTCCCCCGGTTCCGACTGCAAGGAACATCCCAAACATAGAGGAGGTTTCCCAAGTTTCATAAATCCTCAGAGCTCCTGCGTGAATTCTGGTTGCCTTAATTTTTTAAAAAGGCAGAGCGAGACCTCTCATCCTCTGACTTGTCCCCTAGGTGCCCCCGGACAAGCCACGGCTTTGCCAGGCCCAAGTGAGGCCTGAGACACAGAACGCAGTCTGTGCCTCCCACAAAGATGGCAAAGACCCACGCCCATGCGCCATCCCCCTGCTGCCTCCCAGGGTGCCCGTTAGCAGGAAGCAAGCACAGAGCCGGGGTCTGAATGTAGGCACTGTGATCTAGGATGAAGATATCTCAACTCATACACTCAACAGTCACCTAGGTTTTGATGTAAAAGGTATTTTGAGGCCAAATTTTATCATTTGAAATAAATCATCTTGCTGAGGTTGCTTGTTTTTGACACCATATCTCAGCCTCTGTTGGACTCCACTAGCAGGGTCCTCAGCTTCTCGGGGGTTATTTTTCCTTCTGACACCCGAGGAATGTATCCAGGAGGGCCAGAGCCAAGAGGAATGTGTGCAGGAAGACCAGAGACAAGGGCCGGAATCCCCTGGGCCTGCAGTGCCTTCCCCCACATTCCTCCCCGAACCTGGGCTGAGTCATAATAAGAGCCTGTCTTCATGGAAGACTCTAGCCAAGTGTATTTTCTGTTCTAAATTTTCAAACGATAAGAAAAAAAAATTTTTGGACAGCAAGGTCTCACAGCCCTCCATCCAGAAACTCCTAGTTTTGCTGAGAAATGAGTCCAGCTCTGTCACAACGGCCCAAACACACAACACTGGAATCCTCCTGCACTTTCATAGGCACTTGAGTCTCAAGCTGTCTTCAACAGAAAAGATGGGAGCGTGCGCCCCCTGCTGGATTTATTAAGGTGAGGGAATGTGGCCACCTGTACATTCAGGAAGGGGTACTGGGTGGCAAAGGACAGCAAGTCTCCAATTTTACAGATTCTCATTGGATCTCACAGTAATAGTCACAACAGCTCTGAGAATAAGGAGTATGATTCCAAGGCTTTGGTGAGTCAGCATGGTTTTAGAGGAAAAGCAGAGATTTCAGCCCTTTTGCCAGGGAAGGACCCCAAATCGTGGGAAAGTTGTGCGTTTTGCCATCTGTGTCCACAAATGCAACAAGGAGCCATCACAGGGACCCTGCTAGCATGGGCAGGTGCTGCAGCTGCACTTGTTGTGACCTAGCGTCTAGGATCTTGGGAGATTACAGCATAGTTCTAGAAGAGCTGGGTGTTAAGTCGCACGGAAAATAGACATGAAGTTCTTCAGCTGTGAAAAAATATTCAAAACATTCATGGAAAAGATTATGCAATAGGCATGGATTTCAAAATCTTTTCACACTAAAATAAGAACATCTTATTTCTGCTTTTCCATGAATTTTTGAAGTCCCCTGGTATGTTTTTTCCCTGTGCATTTCCAGCCCTTCTCTTCAGTCCATGTACCTGGCTTTTCCCGAGGCCACTCAGAAGCCAGCATGTGTGGGCATGAACCATGGGCCAGCTGTCACCTCAATGTTTCACCTGTCCTGGCTCACGTGACCCTGATCACTCCCCTGGCATGGTCTACTGGGACAAGCTCCATGGCCCCAGGCAGAGGGACGTTAGTCACCTTGCCAAGGGCACATGGCAGGATGAAGGATATTGGGGGGCTGGAGTTTGGATTAGACCCCTCCTTAACTTCACATGCCTCAGAGGGCAACACAGGGCTTCCATGGAACCCCGTGTTAGAGGTTCCTGAGGGTCCCCCTCCACCTGTGGCCTGGGTCACTCAGCATCCTGCCCCATCTGCACTCCGAACCTTGAAGTCAGAGGTGGGTGGGAATCAGCACGCTCCGAAAGCCACAGGTCTCCGGAACGTGGCAGGACGCACAACCAGGTAGCTGGTTGTCCGGTGTCGCTACCTTTGGTGCCATTTTTCTGTTTGGAATCTTTTGAGCTCTCCCCTGTTGTCCTTGATGCCCCCTGCCACCGGG